CCGGGGGTTGGTGAGCCGGCCGGGGCAGCCGGCAGCCCCGCCTGATCGCCGGTGTAGCGGAGCCAGGCTGGCAGCTGGTGTCGCGCCCGGCCGCGCGGCTAAAGCCGGGCTTTAATTGTGAGCTCTCCGATCTGAAACTTCCAGCTCTCGGCGAGATAGGAAGCTCCTAAACGGAAAGCTTAAATACCTGCCTTGGCTCGCCCTTGCAAAGGGGGAGGTTCTGGGTTTTCTCTCTGGTTCAGCGGGGAGCTTTTTTCTGTCCCGGGCGCGTTGGAGCTGTGCAAGAGGATAATAAATTAAACCCTCTGTAGCAGAAAAAGGACCCGGACCGCCTGGCTCGCTCTCCCGCTGCCAGCCGAGGGTTAGGGCAGCCACCGCCTGCCTCATCTCTTGCAGCGATATGAATCGGAAAGCCCTGAAGGGCTTGTGTATGCCCAGGTGTTAGCCGTAGACTCCCTTCCAGCTCTGTTAAGTTGTTAAATCTGAACTAATTGAAGAGAAGACTAAAAGAGCTGAGGGATGGTAAATCTGCTTTCCTTTCTTTTTTTTTTTTTTTTCCTTAATGGAAAACGTGTAAAGTTGGACTCACCATGCTTTTCCCCCTCCCTCCTCCTTTCTCTCCAAAGCTGTCGTGTCTGTCGATGGCAAGCCGGTGAGACTTCAGCTCTGCGACACAGCTGGTCAGGTCAGTGAAGCCACTTATTTGTTTTAAGTGACAGCAGGAGGGGAGAAGTAGTTGCGCAAAGTAGTCCCGCTGATGACTTCATGGATTTGAAAGGATTCCCAGTGTTTGATCATCTTATTAAACTGCTATCATTTTCACTGCTGCTTAAGCCACTGCTTTGCCTGGTGTCTGTTGAAGGGTGGGGGGACATACTATAGGGGCCTCTGTATAGGGGCTGAGCACAGGCTGCTCTGCTGGCTCAAGCTGCTGCTCTGCTTAGCCTGACTAGAAAGGCTGAACATATTGGGGATTCAAGGGCCACCTGGTTTTCACTTTGAGCGGTTGTCACTGTCTTTATTTTTGCTAAGTAACTGTGGGTTTAAGAATTATGATATTTGGGATGTATGAATGCAAAGCATTTTGTAGCTGCAGCTACTAATTGCAGCTGTAGGTGCCTGGAGATAGAGACTGTGGTTTTGAAGGAGCAGAAGCTTAAGGGAGAAAAAAGTCCTATTGGGTGTTGTCTGTGGAGACTTCATATTTGCCATTCCCAGTGCCTTAAGAAGTGCTGCCACCCCAAAGCCGAGGTTTGCTGTAGTCTAAGTCCTGAAGGGTTGAGGGTGGCTGATGCCTCTCAGCTCCTAGTTTGCCTGATGCATAAAAAGAACCCGTTTCCCTACCACCTTTTATTTTCTGCAAGTCCCTGGCTTGTAGCACCCTGAGCAGTGTGCGACTCTGCTTGCCGGTCTGGATAGCCAAAAGTATTTTGCTACCTAGCTCGTGTTAGAAGGCAGCGGGAGTTTGGCTCCTGCACAGCTTTGTGGATCTGGGTCTATGCCTTCACCAAAACTGCGCTGAAAAATCTCAGTGGCCTTAACATACAAACCTATTTAGACGAGTTGTAACTGGGCGCCCTACTTAGGAAAGGGGTTTGGAGGGCGGTGCAGTCCTAGACAGCAGCGTAGGACTCCCATGTGCCCTACAAACTGATGCTGAAATCCTACGAGCAGCCTTCTGTGGGTAACGGTATGAAGTAGAACAGCAGAACTGTCCCACGGGTTCTTGCCCTGGTGAAGGGACAGGGTGGTCCTGTGACAGCCTTGGCTGTGTGAGTTCACATGCAGTATGTGGCAGGTGAAATTGCCATCGGGAGACAGCTGGTGGACAGGCAGCACCTGTGGAAACGCAACCAGAAGCTGCAGGAGGGACGGGCAGACCCAGTCACCTCTTGCCTTCACTGCCTTTAATGGTTCAGATGCTTGCCCCAGTGCAGCTAGCATGGCTAGAGTCACTGCCTTAAAAATGAAGGGGTTATCTAAACTGACAGAAGTTGTCCCAAATAAAAGATACCTAGTTGGGTACTTGGGTAAAACAGCGCTGCAGTGAGGTGGCTGCTGAAATCTGCAGCAAAGAAAAAGCACTCCAGGCAGAGGGAAATTGTATTTCAGTGTCTCCAGCCCAGGTGTGGAGTCCCTGCAGGTCATGTACCTACCACTGAAACTGCAGGAGTGTACTTGGAATATAAAGGGCACTATTTCATCCGGATAGAAACCCTTAAGAACTGGGTTTGGCTTTCAAACTCGTTGAATTGAGCCCTGAGCCCTGTTGAAGTTTATCATGTAGCAAGAAGAGGCAATTATATGGCGAGGTGCCTTTCTGTAAAATGTCCCTGTCGTTCAGAGCAGCAGCTCTCGGTAAATGTGGGGTTTCTCTGGAGCCAAGTGGTGAGAGCCTGGTTTCCTCTGAGGCTTAATCTGAGAATCAAGAGAGCTAATGAAGCTTGCTTTCTTGACTCGTGTTTTATAAATCGCTCGTTCTCTCCGAGATAATGCTGGAAGAAATTCATTCAAGCGAAACAAGACTTCTGAAGCTTCCAGGGGGCTTTAAACTGCGTATCCTGGGCCTCTAGAGGCTTTAAAGCAAAATTTCACATCTCAAAAATTAACATGGGACTTGCAATTCAGCAGTAAACTGCTGGTACCAGAGAGATGTTTTCAGCTGTGTGTGTTCTTTGCACTTTCAATTCAGAGCTTTTGAGAACACGGTCCGTTTTAATTAAAATGTCACTGCCGCTGAGGCAAATCCTACCTGTTCAGGCTGCTAGTGTTACCCTGCTTTTATCCTGCTGTCAGCATAAAAGCAGCCTGCCTGGAGTTAACCCTTGCTTTTTGCTGCATTCTTTGCTGAGGATCAGCACGCCTTTGTTACCATGAGGTGTTTGGCTTTCTTGTGGCTAGTTCCTGAAGCGGAAAAAGGGCCTTGCTTTGCTGGAGTTTGCACTAAAAGAAAAAAAAAAACACCAACCAGAAAAAAAAACCAACCAAGAAAGGTAGTGCTGGGAGGCCTGTTTGCAGTTTGTTTGATGTGGCATGGGTGGGAAGGAAAGGTAAAGCTCTTACTCTATGCCATTGGCATGTTAAGCCTCCACATTGTGAGTCGTTACTGCTGCCATCAGATTTAAATCCCCGGGCACAATGGCAGGGAAATTATTCCCGTATCCTCTAGGATGTTGTTAAGTAGTCACCAGTTTAAAAGGCAATTCCAGGAAAGGTATGTTTGCTGCCCTTGTCTGCTCTGCTCTTGCCTGTATCTGCAGGTAGGGGTGTTGGCAGAGCAGCTTTGAGGTAAATGGGTACTCCCCATCAGAGCGGCTCACTGGCTCACGCTGTGAGAGGCAGACCTGTAGGATGTACTTTCTCTCTCCCTTACTTCAACTTTTTGGCTTCATTGCTCATGTGCTGTAACCTGCTTCTTGCGCCATTGCTCCTTTGTGGCGTGGGAAAGCCACCACCTTTGTCCGGGGTGCTCATGTTGAGGTGCCTCTCAAGATGGAAGGGGCAGGTGACCCTCAGCTTCCCTAAAGGTCAGCGGCAGGCTAGAGCTGGGGGCGTACTGGGGCGTCCTCTGGGGTTGATGTGCTCTTTCCATTGGGTGCTAACACCATTTCATTCCGTGCAGGATGAATTTGACAAGCTCAGGCCTCTGTGCTACACCAACACGGACATCTTCTTGCTCTGCTTCAGCGTGGTGAGCCCCTCGTCCTTCCAGAACGTGAGTGAGAAGTGGGTTCCTGAAATCCGATGCCACTGCCCCAAGGCGCCCATTATCCTGGTTGGGACACAGTCAGACCTCCGGGAGGATGTCAAAGTTCTCATTGAGCTGGACAAGTGCAAAGAAAAGCCGGTCTCGGAGGAGGCTGCGAAGCTCTGTGCTGAGGAAATAAAAGCTGCGTCCTACATCGAGTGCTCTGCTTTGACTCAGAAAAACCTCAAGGAGGTCTTTGATGCGGCCATCGTGGCTGGGATTCAGTACTCAGATACCCAGCAGCAACCAAAGAAATCCAAGTGTAGGACTCCAGACAAGATGAAAAACCTCTCCAAATCCTGGTGGAAAAAATACTGCTGTTTTGTATAGGGGTTGCAGGGACCTGAGTGCTGCTCTGAGGAAATCAAATAGAGGCTATATTAGCTGAATTCTCATTCTGTGTTGTCCCGAGTGTATAGTGTAGATCTGTATGTATGTGTATATGTTGCCCCTGGATATCTCGGTTGCCCTTTTGAGGGTGGCAGAAGGATTCTTAGTTAAATAAGTGCTATAAATTGGGTCTGGCATCCAGTTTCGTGATTCAAACCTCTCACTAGGGAAGAAGAGCGCCACGTGTCTGTGAGGGTAGAAGGATTTGTCCAAAGGATTCGACTTCTGGTGTTGTATGCGGTGGTGAGGAACAGACCAGAGGCCTTTGCTGCCAGGGCTTCGCAGGAGGAACGCACGAGCGACTGTGGAAACCGAGAGCTCTGTACGCGGACGGTCAAAGGGAAAAATAACACTGTGCCTCCTAACTGACATTCATAGCTTTAAAACTCCACTCCTGCGCTCTTCTCCGTGTCTTCCCAAGCCAATGCTCTTAGGGATCGCTGTAAAAAGGGTATGTGAGAGGTGTAATCTATACGCAAATGCCATGGTTTGGAAAGGTCATGAATATACCTTCAGCATGGGGTGAGGAAACCTAATCCGTTATGGAACTGACATCTCGTTTGTCACCTCCTGACTGCGTGAACAGTCCTTTCTGTCCTCCTTTGCCTGCCCGTCCCAGGAAGCCGTGTGGAAGCCCAAGGAACATGACCAAGCTTTAACTCGCTACCTCGAGCAGTGGCGATTTCCTTTGTATTTTTGCAGACATGACGACAGTTCATCTATTTCAGCTGAAAGGAGTGTAAATGCTGTTGTGTTGGGCTTGGGGGTTTTTGTTTTTTGTTTTTTGTTTTTTGTTTTTTTTTTAAAGAGATGTAACAAATATTGGTGCAGCACCATGTAAACCGCATCTGATTTTAAGTCTACAGCTAAGAAATTCAGGCTGCCCCTCCTTACCTTTTAAGGCTGCTAAACAAATAACAAATCAGGCAGATCAAGATTTATAACAAACTGGACTCCAGAAACTGAGGCGGCTGTGTTCTTTTCATGATGCTGTTTCCAACCAAGTTAATGTTTCCCTTCTAAAGGCAGTCACTTGCGGTTGAATCTTGTCCAAGCTCATAGTCGTGAAATTGGCTGAGGCCACCCTGGAAATTTAACTGATAATTTTTTTTTTCCCAGATCAGTCCAACAGATTCACTGAAATGTGCCTAAAATGTAGCTGAGTAATCAACATAGTGCAGAGTTGAGTGTGACCTGTTCTCTGACTAAATCTGGTTCCTGCTAAATTAAGCCTAATTCCAGCCCTGGCGAGTTGGAGAGACCTGAAGGGTAACGTGATCAGTATTTTAACTTATTCTGCAGAGGACATTTAGTTTGTGCTGTCTGTCTGTCTGCCTTTTTATGGCCCTGACTACTTTTTTTTTTCCCCCCTAGATATTTCAAGATCAGATTATAGCCTTTTTTTTTTTTTTTCCTTCAGCCATAGCCTTGAAGTGACCTTTTTCATAGTCTTAACTGCAGTGACAGAAAGCCGGAACCTTTTTTTAATCAGAAATTAATTGATGCCTGATATAAAGAAGAACTGTGGAAGCCATTTGAGTTGATAAAGCTGACCACAGTTTACCTCCTGGCCCATTAAAGAAAATGACACTATGTAAATGGATTCTGGGCTGTATTGGCGTAGGTTCTACAGGCAGTATTTTTTCCTCCTCTACAGCAAAATGAGTGCAGAATGGGTAATGTCCCAGCCCTGAAAACTTGAAAATGGGATGGAAATCTTTACCTAGGGCCTGATTCAATAAAAGCGTGTTGGCTTCTGCACTGGAACAGCCTGGAAAAACAGTTTCCATAGCACGGAAGTTGGATGCATTTAACTTGGTTGCATCTGGTTGGTAATGGTTTAATGTTTACTGGTCATGAAGTTAACATCTGAGCCTTTATATTTCTTACTCGAATGCTTTGACAGGATTTCAGATACGCAGTCATACTGTCATCTTGGAGAAAAACATAAAGCCAGATTTCTCTTGGGTGCTTTGCTTCTCTGTAAAATGGTTTCAGTCGTTCAAAAACGTGGGTTTGGGGAGGAGACAGGCTTGAATCTGAGCAGCTTCCATTGCAAAAATAACAAAATTTCTTCTGCAAGATCATACTGCTTTGTTTCACACCATACTGGAAGCAGTAGGTTATGTTTTATAAGCAGCCTGTTTCATAGTCTGGAGTAGCATTACTTTTAAATGTAGCCAGCTGTGACTGTTTCTGAAAATGTGATGTATATACAATTTGTTATAGCCCTTTACTAGGTGTATGTAAACTGAGGTCTAATAACTTTATGAATACTGCTCTACACAGGGCTACACAGGGTCTAGGTTTTAGAAATATTACTTTTAAAATCACCAGTATTTTATGAGCGCAAGTGAGGGGGAGATGTCTCTATGTAGTCTATAATCTGATGTGCCTTATAAAAAAAACAAAAAAACAAAACCTCTCTTCTGTTTTCTAAGTGTAGGCTATATTCCGAAAGAAATATTTCATGTGAGAATGATATAAATGAGGTATTTGGAAATAAATTCTGACCTGTGAATGTGTCTGCTTCTGCTGCCCGCTTGGGGAGGCTGGAGCTGTGTTGCCAGCCCGGCACTGCGCTCCCAGTGTCCCGGCAAAAGGCCTCCAGGGTTAACAAATACAGACTTTCCCCTGCGCTGCCCTGTCTCAGGGCGGCTGGGCTGGGTGGGAAGGGTTCGATGGTGGGCTTTCTGCCTCCCCAGCTGTGGCCCCCGAAGCATGGGCAGGCTTCCCGTGCCTGGCCCTCAAAAGCGGGATGAGTGGTGGGAGCAGAGCCTGGCTGAGGACAGCTGGGGGGACACTGGGACCAGTGGTGTGGTGTTTCATCTGCTACGTGTTGTGCCACACATGCCCTGGGGGAGCCAGAGAGCACATTTTGGTTCCCTCTTGGCACCGAGTCTTATTGCCCCTTCCCTGGGTCCCATCTGCCATGCTAGGGCACTGGGGCCAAGGCGTGTGAGGCTGGAGGTTGTTGGTGGCCATGGTGCAGAGGCCTTCCGCTCTCGGTGCCGTGACAGCTGCCCTGGGGCTGTGTTAGCTGAGCAGGGAGCAGGATGTGGACCCCCAGGCATCCCTGCGGAGCTGGTGATCCCACTATGAAACCGCTCCAGAGACGGGGCTTTGCTCTGGCTGAGCTTTGTAAACTCACTGTTGCATTAGTTTTCCTGGGAGCTGAGTGGAGCAGGCACATAGGGGCGGGCACACCAGGATGCCCTCCCATGCTGCTGGACTCCAGGGTCATAAGGCTGATGGATTTTCGACCATCAAAACATATGCAGCCTGCATGAAGTAGAGGAAGGAGATTGATGCCATTCACCTTCCTCATGGTCAGTTCCTCACCAAAACAAAGTCTTTGCTTCTTTTCTGCTTTGTTACCCAATATGCTGGGGACTGCTGGGAGGCTTGTTCACCTTGTCATGCCTTCAGCACGGCAACCCTGCCCAAGTGCCTGACCTGAATCATAGAATCATAGAATGTTTTGGGTTGGAAGGGACCCCTAGAGGTCATCTAGTCCAACCCGCCTGCAGTGAGCAGGGACACTGCTAACTAGATCAGGTTGCTCAGAGCCCCATCCAACCTGGTCTTGAAGGTTTCTAGGGATAGGGCTTCCACCACCTCTATGGGCAACCCGTTCCAGTGTTTCACTACCCTCACTGTAAAGAATTTCTTCCTTATATCCAGTCTAAACCTACCCTGCTTCAGTTTGAAACCATTACCCCTTGTCCTGTCACAGCTGGCCCTACTAAAAAGATTTTCCCCGTCTTTCCTATAGGCTGCCTTTAAGTACTGGAAGGCCGCAATCAGGTCTCCCTGCAGCCTTCTCTTCTCCAGGCTGAACAAGCCCAACTCTCTCAGCCTGTCCTCATAAGAAAGGTGCTCCAGCCCTCGGATCATTTGTGTAGCCCTCCTCTGGACCTGCTCCAACTGTTCCATGTCCTTCTTGTGCTGAGGGCTCCAGAGCTGGATGCAGTACTCCAGGTGAGGTCTCACCAGAGCAGAGTAGAGGGACAGAATCACCTCCCTCGACCTGCTGGCCATGCTTCTTTTGATGCAGCCCAGGGTATGGTTGGCCGCCTGGGCAACCTGCCAGCAGGCTCCTTTCTGGTGAGTACCTGGTGTTGAATCACCACTGCAATTGCTGATGCCTTTGAAGAATCACTTCCACTGGGTTTATGCACTGGGTGGTGTGAGTTGGGGTGTGCTTGCTGGAGACTGAGTCACCCCACCTTTGCACACTGGCTCTGCAGGAAAGCGGGCTGTGCTAGCTGAAGCCCAGAACCCGCCATTGCTGAATCCCTGAACAAAAATCCCTCTGCTACTTGTGGGGGGT